AATTCAAACCAAATCTATAATAAAATTGTATGATCAAGATAACTTTGTGGAAAGCAGATTGTATAAAATTATAAAACTCAATTTTTTTTATTTATTTATTACTAAAAGGTGAAATTTAAAAAATAAAAAGAATGAAAACGAAAAATCCAATTCAAACTTGATGAACTTGTTGAATCTATGACTAATATATGATGTAAAATCCTGAGGATTTGAAAAATAATAAAAATAAAATGAAATAAATATAATAATAAAGAAATAAAAAAAAATATATGAAAGACATAAAGATCGTGACTCCATTTGTAAAGAAAACAAAAGGGGCCAATGAGTAAGTAGAAAAAATAGGAATATAAATACCCCATTTCTTCCTTTTGCATAGCCAGCTAAACATCATAAAAAAAAGGGAGAAAAAGAGTATAAATTGTTCTTAAAAAAAGAGAGAGGGAAAAACATGAAATCTCCTAGGCTGATACAAATGTAATACCCTTTAAGTAGAGTGAACACCAATTAACAAGGATTTTAACAAGGAAAATAAGTGATGAAATTGGAGAAAACAGGGGAGAGGGTCAATAGCATGCAAGAGAGAAGAAGCCAAAAATCTTCAATTAAATTGAAAATTGAAGTGAAATTCTGAAATTTATTAAGGTATGGATACTAGACTTAATCGTGTAATACAAATTAATAATTAATTGGGAACTGGACACCAATTTAAATTTTATGCATAAGAAATGACCCAAAAGCTTAAGTGGCCAGCCATGTAAAGATGGAACGGGGAAGGAAAGGAATTCTGAAATTTAAGTTGATGAACATTTATAATACATTTAAAATGTGGATAATGAGTGAATTAGGTAAGAAAAGTTAGTTAGAAAAAAAAAAGGGATCTTTAGTCCCCTGAGACTAAGCTCAGCCAATAGCCAAATTAAGGGAAAGAAAAAGAATCCTTAGTCCCTTTATGCACTAATCAATTATGGTAGAAAGCTCACTACTAGGATAAAGCATGGAAAATTGATAATAAGGGACTTCACGAGTTTGATATGTGTTGTATAAAGCAAAAATAAAGTTATTAACCTTAGGTATATCTTATAATTTTAGCATGAGAAGAATTATAAGATGTAGGAAAATAGAGAAAATTAATATCGTAGAAAAAAGAAGAAGAAGTGAGGTTAACGGAAAACTCATTTAGGAATCACCAATAAAATCTAGACAAATTTGCGACAAGATTTAGGAAACATATCTTAAAGAAATTGTACCTTGAAATGTTAGTTTTCTAACAAATCTTACCTTGCTTGAATTGAAGCTCTAAAGCTCCATATATAGGTAAATACACGAGGAAAGGTAGAATTGCCACCCTTGCTGGCAAATTTGATGAGAATTGATAAAATAAGGAATTTTAGCCATGATAGGGACATAAACCAGTTTCCTCCCTAATAATATTTTTGTAACATCGTATCTTAACATTGAAAAGGGATAGACCACTTTTGAAATAATATGCATAATAATTTAAGATAATAAAATGTAAAGAGTAAATGTTGTTGTTCTCTTGCTATTTGCGAATGACAATTGAACATGAACTAATATAGTGTATTTATGAATTCAAAAGGAATTGCTGGGGAGTACAACAACAACCATACAGCACAAATTGAGCATCAGTGATAAGTAGATGTTTCACACCTATACTCTCCTTAGTTAAGAGTGAATTTAGTATTCTATTTTATTTTTGAAATTTAAAACTTACTAACAAAGCTAAAGGGAGGAAAGATATAATGAAATGAATGTGGATTTAATTTATATTTTGGTTATGGACTTATGGACTTTGATTTTTTATGATGAATCCAAAACAATTACCTTTGAACTTGATTAGTCGATCCCGAATATAGGCGGCTAATAACATTAGTAAGATTTGCTAACATTAGTATGATCTTTGTTGTAACCCATTTTTGGGTCCCCGCGTAAAAATATATTATATATATATATATATATAGAAAAATAAGAAAATAAAAAAGAAAATAAAAAATAATTAATAATAATAACTAAAATAAAAATGTAGATAAGTTTGGTTTCGTAGCCTCCCTAACCTAAGCAATTAAGCCCG